ATCATTACTAATAAGGACACCAATTGAAAAGAAAAAAATATATTTTTCATCTTATACTTTGCTGCCTTAGAAATTTTTCGTCATTTTATTTTACACCGACCAAATAGTGAAAATGTATAAATAAAATGATTTTAAGTGTGCTTAATATTGAAGAAAAATGAGAGAAAGAAATGAGAAGGATATGTATTTTTTAAAGTTAATTTTATATCTATAATTTTTTTAATTCTATTGAGTAATGAATTAAAATAAATTATGTTTTTTTATTTTTTCATCATTTTTATCAAGCATGCAATATAATTTTTTCTTCAATGTTATTTTTTTTTTATTTTATAATTTATTTTACTCTACCAACCGAAATCTTAATAATTAATTTAAACCAAATAGACTGTGGTTGGAGTTGGAAGAAGTAAAGGGTGGGAGAAATCAAAATATTATGTAGCTTGTAAGTGTTTATATGTCAATAACCTTATTTTGAACATTTTTTTATTTAAAAATAAGTTTTTAATTACATTAAATTAAAATTTCTTTTGACAAATCTAAATTAACTTTTTAAACAAAAACTATCATAAATAATTTTGACTTAAATCCGACTGTAGAAGAAAAAATAATAAAAAAAAGACAATAAAGGAGATGAAAACAAATGAAGAATGGGCAACCTGCAAATTCAAAATTCCATTTCCAACGCGATATTTCCCGCACAAAGCCACTGAAACACAGAAAAGCAAAATGCACTCCAATGCTGAACCCTAATTAGCAAATTATTTCTTCATACCCTCTCGCTTCAATTTCTCAGCTAGAATGTCATCCAAACTCCCCGACGAACCACCATGCGACACTCAGGGAACGGACGAGAAAGCATCGCCTCGAGGAGGAAACGTTTGCGCCGCGTTAGCTTCGCCGACCCGCGAGATCACGTCAGTCCACATCTTCAACCGCGACGACGACTACGAAACCCCGCCAGATTCTACTCCGGAGCTGGCCAATGGACGGGAAAATGAAGTAGTGGGTCTCTTTAAGGGTTTGGTGGATAGTGATGATGATGATGAAGACGGCCTTTCGAGTGGTGGTAAATCGTTCTTTAGGCCGATGGAGACGCCATCACCTTGCGGAAAGTACAGTTGGATCTGCTACCACTAATGATGGTCAGTTTGGGCCGCATTGTTAATTTTAGTTAGCGTTTTTCAGTTGATAAAAAATTAGATTATCAGGTATGTTATAGAAAGAAAAAGGCATAAATTGCGAATTCAATATAAAAACACATACATGTCTTAAATTCTTCAGTAATTTGAAGTTAAGAATTTAGGTTTGGTAATGGTGAAATGCTCCGTTTTACTTTATGTAACGATTTAGCATTTTTAATGTTTTAATGTTTTAATGTTTCTTCATCTTTTAGTATATATGATTTTTTTGTTAGCAAATTTTAGGGTCCGTTTGGTTGGTACTTATGCTGTTTGTCTTTTTCTTTCAGAAGTGAAACAAAAATTTCGTTTCAATACAAAAGAAAAAATTTCTGAAAGATTATAAGAAAATATGCAATTTCTTTATACGACAAAGTGTAGGATTCTACTTATATTTAGACAAATTATGTTAAACTTGGTGTTACATTTCAATTATTTTCTCATTTTAGATCAATTGTGATGTTTTTAAAATTTTGTCTTTTGCTTTATGTCAATGACTCAATTCTCTGAACAAGCAAATGGCATCAATCGAACAGAGCCTTAAGTAATGTCCTGTACTTAAAGTTTGTGAGATGGAAAATTATTTATGTTCTGTTTATAGGAGAAATCCAATCATTCAAGCTAATAAATAGAATGATTAGTGTGATAATTTCCATTGTTTGAAGTGTTTGTTCAAATGTCTTGTTGCAGAAGACAATTTTTTGGACCTGTGCTGCAGAGTTTATTCGGCCTGATAGATTATCTGATTCAGCTGCTTCAGATGATAACCATGATATCACAATGGATTCGACAGCATTTTCGATGCATTTCATAGCATTGCACGATCAGAGTCAGGAGATATCAATACTTCAACAGGAGTTCCTCTTGCTTCTGAAGAGAGACTCCTTTCCAAGCTACAACGTCTTTTGATCCAGAAAGTTTAATGGTATTAACAAAAGTAGGGAAGCCGAAGTCCCCATCACCTGTACCTATTGATACATTTAGTGGCGGTAGGGATTCCAGTGACATGAGTCTTGTCGGTGAAAGCATGCATAGGTATGATTATGGGAAGCTCTGTCCCAAATTAGAAGCACTTTTGGCTGGAGGCAGTGAATTTAATGCCATCCCTCTGATTCTACTATTCCAAAATCATCAATGGTTTCCGTATCTCATGGTAATGGTAACGACTGCATGGAATCCTCACATTTCGGTAATTCAGAGCTCTGCATCCATAACAATAATGATTTGTCTAGTAAGGGCACTTCTACTGCTCAGAACAAATGGTTGAGGCAACAAGTGATACAGTAACCACTCTTGCTGAAGATTTGTTGATCATCAAACTCTTAATCAGCGTAACAAGTGAGTTCTCCTAGCAACTTGATGTTACCTGGATTACTTTTCTCTATTTTTGGTAATCTTGTCTAATAATTTAATTTGGTAATTCAATGAACAAGTTATGCTATCAATCTAATTAGGGGTGAGCAAATCCTACTTGATTTGAAAAAAAAATCAATTACATTTTCAAATTTCATATTAAATGGTTCGAGTTATTCAATTTTGTGTCAATTAAAATAAGCAGTTCGTGTAAATAGTTTGAATTATTCAAAGTCTGTTCTTGTGTACAGTTTTGATCAAGTCAATGGTCGAAAGGCCATCTGTGGTCTTATCAAGTTGATTTTTTGCAACGGCTAGACGACTCATAGATGTTGGCCATATTAGTAACCTAATCAGTATAGCCTCTTGATCTATAGCCCAAACAAAAGTCCTGTTTCCCACCCTGAAATTTCTTAACTCTCTATCATTTTTTAAATCACATGTTGATAGCTGAGAGTAGTAGTGTACTTATAGTGATAGGCTGATACCTGAAAGTTTCTACTATTGTGATTAAGTGAAGCTTTTCATGCGGAATTTACATCCCTTGGTTTTTACCTTCTTTTTAAAAAAAGGATTTTCCACTTAAAATCACGTGTTTCATTTTATTGGCAATTTCCATTTTAAGTGGACTCTCAAGTCGTGAAATTTTATGGTTATTGCTTTATCATGCTTAAATATAATGAATATTACTTGAACTCCATTAGCTTTATTTGACTTGACTTGATTTGGTAATTTCGAATCAAGTTGGTTGATAACACAAGACTCTCAATTCAACTAACTCAGTTTTTTTTTTCCACTCAATTCGATTGACTCAGTCGAATACTCACTCCCAAGTCTTATGGTACCTAGGATTGTTTTCTCAAGATTTGATTATATTATTTTTAGTTCTTTGGTGCAGTAATTCAGTGCGTAGATTATGGTTATTGTAGCATGACAGGATTCTTTTAGTTTTCATTTATAGGTTCTTTTGGATCCTAACATCCGCAGAATTTTCCCCCTTTCTTTTCTTGAAATCCAGGATGTAATCTGTGTATTTAGGAATCTATGTTTCATCACAATGACATGTCATGGATGCAACTATTTTGCACTTATCAACTCATGAAGGGTAACCATACTAGTTTTCACTGAGACAATTTCATGTATTTCCTCTGTAGACACCCTTAGGTGGAGATATTAAATGACATTTTATAATTATTGTTTTGTAATTATCTCCATTTTCTTCAGGAGGAACTAAGGCATGCATTTGCATGGTTGTTTAATTGTTTCAATTTCAGGTAGACAACGAGATTTCTGAAGTTTGGTTGGAACAACCGTGTTGTGCTCTGATTCAATTGCTGTCACTAATGGTACTCCAGTGAACCAGAGTAGCAAGCTGTTCAGTTAGATTTGGTCAAACATTTTGAAAATGAAAATCAGCTGCCAACTAAGATGGGTTGAAAGAAAATTCTCCTCAGGATAAATACATACTCATAATATTGATCATGCTCTAGTCACGCATAAGTCTCCATTAGCAGGGTCCCACTCATTATCTGCTAAAAGAACACAAATTCTTCTGAATGCTACTAATGCACCCAGATGTTCGCTATTTGTTACTCCTTCCCAAAACAATCAGGTTCTGTTTTGAGCAAGGGAAGTATAAAGAAGGTGGTGTGTGGCATCCATTCCGAAAAGTAATTCTGAGTTAAAAGTTCTGGGGCCTTGTCCTGGTGCTTCTGCTTTCAATGACGGAGCTGCCAAGTCAAAACTTGGATTATCAGAGTCCCTTTATACTAGTGCTTGTTCATTTGACACAATTATGGAGGAAATGAATGAGGGTCTTCAACGTCAACAGGAAACTGCCCCCACTAATCATCTAGAGAAGTTTTCTGGTGTAGGTCTGAACCAGGGAGAGAAATATTGCACTGACCTTGGAACTCCAAAAAGATTAGTAGTTTGGGCCTAGATGGAGAGACCACAGGACTTGCAGAAGATAAAGAATATAATGACAAATGTACTGACATAATGACCAAACTACTTCACCTTCTAATTTCACTCAAACAGGAAAGAAAGTAACAAATCATTCATTGATATCAGCAGATTATGCAGATGCCAGCCTACTAGCTTCCACTTTTAATTCCTCACCAAAGGCGATCACATGAATTCAGCAAAGATAAGAGAGATACTGAGACTTTATAAGCCTGTTTTTTCCTTTGGTTAACAGGAATGAGTTGTCATCACAATGGGACATAAAGGTAATCTGTATGGCGATTTAAAGCTCAAGATCAGGATAACAGTGCTATTATTGTTCTAAACGAGAATGCAACTCAGTAGAAACAGTTCTTAGCAGTATAATTTAACTGCAACAGCTGAAAAACAGAACACTGCCCAGCGCATCACTTGCTACGGTAAAATAGTGGATGATAGGGGAAGTAATGGATTGGATATGCAGAATACTTCTCAACCTCAAGAATTTCCGTGATGGTGCTACCTTGAAATTGCAGCCAGGAGACCCAGAGAAAAATATCCAGACTACAGTTGAAAAAGCCTCTTCCAGTGAAAATTTTGTTGAGGAACAGAGGAAAGTTTCTTCTGTTTATGCTTCCCTAGGTCCACATACAAGTAAAATTGAGAGGTCACCTCAAAAGGTATACATCTTCTCTATATCTTTCCGTGTGTCAGAGCATACTGCAATCACATTTGTTTTTAGGTCAATACTATCTCTGATTCTCTGTCTGACATTTAAACTCTCGTGCAATGATTGCTCAGAGCTCCACTAGAAAGAGGCAAACTCAGAATCCCAATTCAAAAGAGCCAGTCTAAGCCCCTGCAGGAAAGAAATGCATAATGCATTACATGATTTTTTTATAGGAATTTCAGGCCTCGTTAAAAACCCCCTTCTTGATTAATGGAGCTTGTAGGGAAGCTCCTTTGTCAGCGGAAAGAGGAAAAGAGTGCCTTAGGATTTTATTGAACATAGGAAAAATACATAAGATACAACCTGAAAACACACTTAAGAGAAACAGATAAAACACAGAAGGACCTAACCACCCATAAGCATCAACACTAGCTCTGCCCCAAACAACATTAAGCCAACAAAACCCTACTGCAAAACATCTAAAACAATAGAAAAAATTCAGCCAATCCCCTGTTTAGCCAGATTATCAGCCTCACAATTACAACTCTTAGGAATGTGTCTAACAATAATCTCCATATCAGAAACTAGGGAAACAATTTTCCCAACCATTGAACTAAAAAAAGGAGGAGCTGAAGTCGGCAACAAAATCCAATCCACTGCTGATTTATAATCACTCTCTATTATCAATCTTCCCATCGTAGCCCAAGTCGATGAGAGAAAGAAATCAATGCCTTTCTCTATGGCTTTCAACTCAGCCAGTGGAGGAGGACTTGGACCAACACCATTCGAAAAGGACCCTAGAATTTTACTGTTCGAATCTCTTAAAGTGCCCCCAATTCCACCCACCAGCCCGTCACATGTGACTGTCCCATCAACTTTAAGTTTGAAAAAATGAGATGGAGGAGGAAGCCAACTCTGAACCTTCATTCTCTTAAAGATAGGAAATTGATGCTTGTCTGCAAGTGTGGGGTCCCTAACAAGTGATTCAACCTGAATAATGACATTCAGATGCTTAGCAAGAAACCATTTAGCCAATCTAAATCTGGAAATGAAGAAAAGAGAAGATCTGTCCAGTTTCCAATTATCAAAAACCACTGAATTCCTAGCCTTCCATATTGACCACAAAACAACTCCTAGTATAAAACTCCATATTGTAGTATTTGGCCTAATATCAGACCATGAACTCAGCAAGGAAAGTGGATCTTTAGGCAAGACTGAAGATATTTCCCATAACCTGAAATAATTGTTCCATAAATCCCCTACAACCGAGCACGAAATGAAAAGATGTTGAACAGTTTCATCCTATTTAGAACAAAATGGACATAGGACATTTTCCAATGCAACACCTCTTCTCTTCAACTCCATTCTAACCGCCAATCTTTGATGCGAAACCTGCCACAGAAATTTCGACTCTGGGAGGAGCCAAACCTGACCAAACCCACTTGTTCCAGTTGAATACACCACCAGATTTGAAAGAAAGAGTCGACCTGCATGCTTTTAGCGAGAACAGTCCATCTCCTTTCCCCGACCAAGATAGAAAATCATCCACCAATTCAGACAGAGCAATATTGTCAAGCAACGACATTAGTTGAATCCAATAATCCAATTCCAATCACATAAATTCCTCCTAGATTGAATATTCCAAACCCATCTATTGGTAACAAAACAACCAAACTCTGAAACTTTTCCCCACTTGTTATTTGATAGAGCGAAGATCCTTGGAAATTGATTTTTTAGAGTATCTTGTTTACCCAAACGTCGTGCCAGAAGAAAATAGACTTACCATTGCCTACTTGAATCTTAGAGTGGGATCTCATTCCTTTCCAATTACATCTTCTTTCAAATAATTCTTGTAATACCTTTCTAAATCCATGAGTCCATAGGAGAGACTACCTTATTGATAGCTAGGGACAGATTACTAACATTTGTTTGCTGCAAATCAATTTTTCCAAAAGAGTGTCTTTTTCATTTGCGAACTTCCAGACCCATTTACCTAGCAGCACTCTTTACAAAATTCAGATCCAGGACTCCCAAACCTCCTCTTCGAGGTGTTGACATACCATTTTCCAATTCACCTAGTGAATACGACTGTTTGATGTTCCCTCCCCCAAAGAAAATTGGCCATCAAAGAATTATCTTCCTATTAACCTTACTCGGAATTCTGAAAATAGAAAGGAAGAAAATCGGCATTGAGGACAATGTTGACTTTAACAACACCAATCTGCCCGCCATTGATAGTGAAGAAGCTTTCCAACCGGACAATTCTTATTAAATTTTTGGATGACCGGATCCCATAGAACCTCAGAATTTTCATTGCACCTAAGGGTAGTCCTAAATACACTGTAGGAAAAGAACCCACTACACAACTAGCCTTAGTTGCCCATTCATTTAATAAGCCGTCTTCCACATTGATGCCATACAATTGCTCTTAGATAAGTTCAAATGAAGCCTTGTCATTAGGCTAAAAATCCTCAACACTCTCCTAATATTTAAAATATGTGTAGAGAATCACGGCAAAACAAATCAGATCATCAACAAACTGTAAGTGAGTTGATGAAAGGGATCAGATCTTCCAATAGCAAAACCTTGAAAGAGTCCCAAATCAGCAGCTTTAATCAGCATAAGATTAAGAAGTTCCAACTATATTAAACAGAAGAGGCGACAAACTACATCCTTGTCTCAACCCTTTACTCATAAAAAATTCCTCAGTTAGAGAGCCATTCACTAATATAGAGATTGACGCCGAGGAAAGACTATATTCTATCCAAGAAACCCATCACTCGCCGAAGCCCATGACTCATTAATCTAAGGATAATTGGCCATTCAACTGAATCATACTCTCTGAAAATCAACTTTGAAAACAACCCATTTCAGCCCTTGGTTCCTCCAGTAGTCTATGCCTTCGTTTGCAAGAAAGCACAATCTAATAGTTGTTTCCCCGGAATGAATGCAAACTGGTAATGCATTACATGATGATAATAGCAATTCTCTGTTGCAAATGTACAGAGGATTGATGACTGTCATGGAAGATCTAAGCCAAGTCCTGTCCAAGACATCCAGAACTCATCAAAAGAAAAAGGACAAGGAGAAGTTGCTGCTGTAGATGTGCACCATTCAGATAATAATAATCGAAAGCAGCAGAGTCCAAATTCTGTAAAGTTGGAGAGAAAAATATGGAGCACACATCAGAATATCTTATGGAAGTAACCTAGAAAATGAAGGGATTGAAGGTGGCAAGATATTGATGAATTGGACTGATGTACGTATAATTTCTATTTTGTTGCACTTCCAGGTTTGCTGTAGCCTGTATAAAATGCTACATTTCCTTTTACCTTTCCTTTTGAATTTGATTTATAGAGCTTATTTTGCAGATTCCTCTCAAACTATCAGCAGATACAAACCAGCTATTGTCTCCATGTTCCGATAAACTAAATATAAAAATGTACATATCTTGTTTTTCTAAATTTACTGCATCCTTACAAGGTTTTCAGATATAAATTGTGATAACATATTTCATAACCTAAATTCCCATTGTAAAAGTTTCCATTTTTTCTTTGCCTCTAATTTGAATGTGCAGATAAACATGTTGGAAGATAAATTGCTTCATCAGCAGAAGGTTTACATATTAGAGATGCTTTGTTCTGGAATCCAATCCCAGCTTGCTCAGTAAGCAAATTGCCAATTTATGTTTTGCAGTGGTACTAGTTTTCCCCTTATTCTAACCAATCTGCACAATCATTGCTGATGGCACTCTTATTTGTGGCTCTCATCAGGCATACAATCCATCCTGCAATATTCTACATAAGAGGTTGTTCCACTTTATGATCTCTATCATGTCTGTGTCATGAATGTGACTAATATTGGTTTCTGTAGTTAATATTGAAATTGTGTGTTGCTGAAATGATACCCTTGCAGAGTGACTGAAACAAGACAAGTTCTTTGCAGAATAATCTTTGGTAAGGCTAAATTGCAGTTGATGCATGTGAAGCAGAAAGATTGCTGGATTTTCTTCTCTCTGTTTCCTTTTTTCCTTTATGTCTCTAAAATACCTACTCTTAGCACCTGCCTTTTCTCATCTCAGAAACAGGTAGAATTACTTAGAACTGGAGTTCGGAGTCTCAAAGGTTGAAGTTAAATTTTGTCAAACTCATTCTGTTCTGAAAAGGACACTAAACTTGGTGATAATTCATGTTCAGTTACATTTGGAAACAACCTTAAGGTACCCTCATCTGTTATAAGATATGGATCTATCCCTTCAGTCCTTTGCTGCTATATCCTTTAAATGAAACCACATGAAGTTGGGTTTGTGCGGCTCCCAATTTTCATTTAATAGTGTTTTAATTTCTTCTAAGACTTTGAGTGGCTAAGAATTTACTTAATCTGGAATTACTATCTTGGAAGGTTGTGGCTCATATTTCTTAAAAATTCTATTTTAGAGTATAATATCTGTGTTTTTTGATATATTAACAATTAATTCTGTATGCCTTCAATCTGAATAACAATGTTTGCACCAGTATATATTTTGTGTATGTCATGTATTTGTTCAAATTAGTACAAGTATATCTTTATGTTTTAAGCGTTGTTTCTACATATTGTAAAAATACTAACATTGATTTAAAGCATACCCGAGAGAGTATGTCGGTGATCTTAAATCTGTTGTACTGAACGATGCTCTTAGTATTCCATCAACTATACCAAAATCAGCATTATCAGTTTTTGTGATTCGTACTTTCTTCAATGTGTCTTTTACAGTTGAACACAATGCCTCTTATATTGTTTTAAAAGATGCAGTTAATTGATATTTGATTAGTTTGTGGTACAGGGAGCCAGTGTAAAGTTAGCACAATGAAGCATGATCTTGAAGCTCTGGAAAAGAAAATAAAAATTTAACCAAGTCTTTTCACATTTGCTGCAAGATAAAAGAACAGAGTTCTTCTGGTACTATTGAGTTGGTCAATGACTATCTAAAGAAGAAAACTTGTTGCAGATTTATACGCCAGGGTATTCAGGTTTGTTTAACTCTTGATGTTATTCTCCTCAAAACACAGAAATTATTTTATGTGACAAGATGCATAACTTGTCTGTTATTCTTCAGTTGTGGAGGTTGACGATTTGCAGAACAGTATGGCCATCACAATGTTATCCTCACTACCATGGGTTCATCTGGCAGAGGTTTTTGTTATTGTGGTTTTATGTCAAAGAAAATATGTCGGAAAAGTTTTACATTTTTTCTTACATTATGGTGATTTGCAGTCTCACTAATACTGGCCGAAATTCAAGTGTTTTGGTTGCAAACAAATTGAATGATATGAACATCAGTAAGGTAACAGAGTCAACCACGTAACTGAAGTCATGTTTTCCCCTGTTTCATTTCTCATCCTTATCTTCAATTTTATGTTGGTCATTAGAACTTCCCAAACATGGATGCATGCTCTGCATTTCGTTTTGTCTTTAACCATGAATCGACTAAGAATGTTGGGCCCAAAGTTTGGCACAGGAAACTCAAGTAACTTCTGTCTCAGAATTTCATGTGTCTCCTGCATTTCTCTTCTAAAATAAAACAACCTATTTCAGTTTAACATGTATCAGAAAAGTACACCTTGCTTATGCTTTGATTTGTTGTTGTACTATAATGAATCAATAATAGTATATTTAAGATTTCGAGCAAGTGACTGTTAATTGTTGCAGTTATCTTTTCTGGCCTTGCTTGTTGAACTTTCCTTGATATTTTCCTGGTGCACTATCTTTTTTATCTCAGAAATTTCAGCGTTTCAGAATGAAATGGTTGAAACTGTATTCATTTTATTTCTTCTGATTATGCAGAGAACTGTTCTTTTAAGAAATCTTCTTGATGTCGTTGAGGAAGTACAGGTAGCATGGTTGGAGATTAGAAATATGACACTGGCTAGCTTTCATTCTCCATCAGGTACATGTTTGTCATCGTGTTATTAGCAACATGGTTTAAATCCTTGAATCAATGTTTTGGAAAATTTGCAATTTGATTCTATTTTATGTTTATATTTTGGGGTTGGTGTTGGATTGCTAAGTTTTGAACCAAGCTTCTTCCTACTAGGGCAGAAGGTTCTGGAAATTTGGTTCTTTTCTTCTTCAAACCAAAGTCAAGATCGATGACTAGATCACTTTCTTGTTAAATATACTACATTTTGAAGCTTGTCTGTGTTTTCTCCGGCTTTGAAACTGTCTTATTTTTTCTTTATTATTATTATTATTATCTATTGGAATGGAGTTATTGATTTGAGGTTCCTAGATAATTCCTTTTACTAGTGGTAGGATGGATAACAGTCATGAAAATAATGGTTAGGTTTCTTTCTTCGTTAGTCGGATGTACTAAAGGTAGAGTCCTTAAAACTTACCATTCAAAGTTTTAATGCTTCTATCTCATCCAGTTAGTTCTTTTTGTAATATGGTTGTTAATGGTTTGGGCATAACCATACATGTCCTGGCAAAGTAAATTGTTAACTACTTTTGCACTTTGTGTGTTGAAAAGACACGTTTCATCAGATTGAAACTTGATAGCACCTCTATGTTTTTGCAGCTAAGCAGTTGGATTTGCAGCTTGCTTTCATTGATTTTGAAAGTGGTATAAAGGTGACAATGACTCTTGACGTGACGTGTTTGAAATGGTAAAGTCCTGCATAACTTGTTTTTTTCAAGAGGCCTACCTTTCCTATAAAAAAAAAAACTTGTTTTTTTCAAAAAACATTTTCTCTGATAAGCATTTTGTAAGTCTGATGCTTTATCTTATATCTGAATTGCCTGGTTTGGTGTATGATCTTTTTGATGTAGTTGATAAATTTATCCCCAAACGAGAATGGTTTAGTTTGTAACTGGTAAAGTCTGGTATATTATTTGTAAATATTCAAAGAAGAAAGGAAGTGAGAATTCAAATGAAGAGAGAACATAAGTTGTGGGTCAGATTGTTTTAAATGAATTTAGATTATGATTGTTTACATGTTCTTTGTAAATATTCTAAGAAGACAGGAAGTGAGAATTCAAATGAAGAGAGAACATAAGTTGTGGGTCAGATTGTTTTATAAATGAAATTTACATTATGATTGTTTATATGTTCATGCGGATCCTGTAATTGTCTAAATATACAAATATTAGTTTTGTACACTTTTGGTGACTGTTGTGTGTTCTATCATTGTAAAATATAAACATTATGCATCAACAAGCATCAAGGCATATATGTTTAGATATAATTGTCAACTAATTATACTTCTTATTTCTTGGTTTCTTACAGTGGGGTCTATACATCAGATATCCTACCTTATCGTTTACAGACTCCCGCCACTGGGATAGAAAACTTAAAGCATCAAGCACTCTCAGCTGAAATCAAAGCAGCGGTTGAGAACCTTAGAGCTGGATATTTGAGGATTATAAGGCTTTGTAGATGTGTTTCCCAGGTGATGCAATCTTCAGGCAAGTGCTGAGGTTTTCTAGCATCTTTAAAAGAACATAAGGGCGTCAACAATTTGTTGGAGGCCTCTCTCTGTTGCTTGTGTGATTGCAAACTGTACTACGAAAGTGATGACTTGCCCCGACTTCCTTAGTAAGTCTTTTATTAGCTTTCTTTCTCGAATTCGTGGAACATTTTTTTGTGGTTGTGTAAGTCTTTGTAGTGGAGCACCTTAAGTAGCCAGTTTACCCGAATCTGATGAGTTTGAAGTAAAATGAACTCTACAAAAATTTAAAGATGGCCTCTATTAAATGCAAGATTAACCTCTTTTTATCCTTTTCCCCATCTTTTCTGTTTATTTGTTTGTTCGTTCTTCCAAGTAGTATTACTGATGGTTGAGGACTAAAAAAGTTCAGTATCCAAGAACTGTGCCTAATGGAGGAATCATGTTGTTAACGTTTGAGAAATAAATGATGCTTATGGAACGATGGATGTGCAGCATTTTGAGTTTGGACAGTGTATTTTTCACAGATGAGATGAGAGACCTGCCCTGCTAATGAGGTTAGCTTATCTCTCCTTTAAAAAATACAAGTTCCCAAAACCAGAATTTAAAATTTAATTTGTTGCTAGCACGAACCAAGTGATCCTAGTGATTAAAGAATTGATGTTATTCCGTGAGATTTTGGGTTCTAACACCACGGATGCATGGGGTGTTGTCGAGTGGTTCACATATAATACTTTATGTTCACTCTGATTAATAAAAAAATTAATTTGTTGAAGCGTGTACATCGTTCTAGTTTGAAATTGCAAGTACTAGGACCACCTGAAAAATAAATAATAGATATTTTATTCTATTTAAAATAAGTCATCTAATTACAAATTATTGTTAATTTATGTACTAAAAGTTAATAGTCTTATCAAGTATTAATATGTTTTGTCCTGTTAGAATAAACCCATTCAGATTCTTGTTCACTAGCTTGAATCAAAGCGGGGGAAAAGTGCAGATTCTTAAGAAGAAAAGGGTTAAATATTCAGGTATGGGCTGTTCAGTCAACATTTCCCTATTACTGCTGAAAGTCCACAGTTTGCGGAATATAGAAAAGTATAGGAATTTTGTACGTATATAATATATTATGATAATAAAGTTATTTCTGAGCAAGAGAAGGGTTGTTTGGGCATATGATCTAGAAAAAAGTGAAGCACTTTTTGTGAGGTTAATCTTGCACGTCTTCTTTGGGTGCATTATTCATCTTTCACAATCAAGGAGCATAATTTTTATGGTAACTGTAAACACTTCTTATAAAAATAAATTTAAATCTGAATTAAATTTACAATATAAACTAAATATTTATATAATAAATTTAAAAAATAATATAAAAAAACATCATAAGCACAATATTAATAAAACTAAATTATATTAAAATATTATTTGAATATATAATATCATTTAAATATTAGCGATGAACTTTTTATTTGTCAAAAATGCGTATGAATTTATAAAAAAATTATATTTATATTGGTTCACTCAATAAAAAATTTCTGCATTCGTCATTGCGCATATATATATTATGTAGATGCTCGTTTTTGTTCGGGGCTAAGACGGAGCAGACCCGAAGCAGAGCAGTTGGAGTCCCAATCCAATGATTAAGCCCAGTCCACGTGAAATCCTAAACAACTAAAAGGCGGTTATTGGGAGTTAACCAAAGCAAAGTGGAGGTGAGGGTCAGTTTTTATGTATTAACCACTGGAAACGTGGGGGAAGGGGATAAAAAAAGAGGGGAAGACATTTTGTAAAGGTTTTTTTTACTGTTCTACAATTGGAGGGGGTCCCATTGATTTTTTTTTTTGGGAGAGAATAGAGAAACAAAGGAAAGGATAGGGTTCTACTGCCCGATTTTAAAAACAAAAAGAGTGTAAAGAAGTGAAACAATCTATTTTTCTGAAGGAAGCAATAAAAGAAAGCAATTTTCTTTTTTAATTTGACGGTTCCATTCGAAGGAAAGCATCAATCATTCATACAGGCCATAGCATTTTCTCGAGAAAAAGCAACACCAAGAACAGAAAGTATTAACAAGGAAAAACCAGAATAAAGAAAAGCTTTTAAGAGGTATTTTATTTTATTGTACTTACTTCCTAGAAACTATTCATGTGTGTGTGGTATTTGTTTTGAAAGAAATAAGGGTCAGAAAATTCACCGATTTGAGTCACCGTGGCTAACATTGAGGCAATGAGAACTATTCGAAAAACCTTGCATGTAGACAATTTGAATTAGTTCTCATCTTTTAGAATTTTAAAATGAAAATAGAGGTAAATTAAAGAGTTTGGTGTTTACCTTTTGGAGCCAGCCGGTGAGCATCATGAACACATCCATCATTCATAAGATTTAAAGTGAGGTCTTTAAAAATTAAAGAAATAAAATAAGAAATAGGAAGTGAAATTACATGTGTTGAAACAACGTCAATGTTAGTGGCTAGGAAGGGATCGGCCGAGAGAAATAAGGGAGTTGAGGTTAGTAAATTTTTATTTTAAATCAAAACAGTATAATCAAGTAGATGAGATGGGGTTGTTCAGTTCATAGGTTATGTCATGGTCTAGGTTGGTTTAGGTCTTGGTTCGATCGTGGAGTGGGATTGTGGTGGCCATAACTATTTTTTGCTTGAAATTTATGTTTAATAAAAAGTAAATTAAAAAGAAGAATTTAGTGTTTACCTGTTGATCGTCGGTCGCCGGTCACTTGAAGATCGTCGGGGTCTTCACCGGGAAAGGCTTTAGGCAGTCGAAGGGTTAGAATAGAAATCAAGGGTCTCGGTTCATGTTTGCTAGCTTAGGCATTTCCCTTCTTGAGTGGTGGCGGTCGAGTGGAGAATGGCCACCGAGGCGGTGGCCAATGCGATGGCTGTGAGGAGTAGAGAGGCTCGGTGAGCGGCGCTGTGTGGGTTTGGAGAGATGGAAAGTGGAACGAAAGAAGAGGAAGGTGCTGGGCGCATGTTCCACGTGATTTGGTTTTTTAGTTTAGGTTTAGCTTATTTAGGCTTTATTTTTTTGAGTAAATTAACTTGTGGCCACTCAAACTTTAGGATAAATTCGGTATATGGTCCTTATAGGTTTAAGCTTGTTTTACATTTTAGTCACCTTTAGGACTGTTTTCAAAACTAACCTTTTGTGTTTGTCCTAATTTAGTGATTTTCCAGTTTTTAGTTTTAGTTATAATTTTGTTAGATTATTTGGGTGTAGATTCCTCACTTATGCTCATGTTTCATTTAGATCCCTACTTTAGTTTTAATTTGTATGGTGAATTTTATATTTATTTAAATTTAGTCATTATTCTAACATGTATATATATACACTTTTTAACATTTGTAGTTTATGCATGTCATGATTTTATTTTTTATATTTAGGTCACATGTGTACATAATATGTCAATATGCATAATTTATGATTTTTAATTAAAATATACGTATATAATTTTTTGTATGTCACGTTGTATGATATTTTTAATTTTGTATAATTAATTTTGGCATGACATCCACTTTTTGCACAATTTGTATGATACCCTCACGTGCATAACTCGACCTATTACATAATCGGACTAAGGGTAATACCCTTTTAATTTAAAATTGTCTTGAGTGGCTTGTCTTAACTGATTAGAGAGTCATTTTGACGATTTTAATTTTAAAGTGTATCCCGAAAGTGAAACAAAAAAAATTGATTCGTCACCTAAAATTTGGGAACGAAAGAAAAGGAAGCGTTAATTTAATTTATTTAAGTGCTTTTGAATGTTTTTAAATTTACATCTTTGTTTTCAAATTAAGTTTGAATTTGTAAAGTTCAATGCAAAGACATTAATTAATCGACTAGGTACCATTTTAGGGCGTTGTGGGGGTGCTAATCATTCCCCGCACGTAACCGACTCCCGAACTTGGATTTTGGTAACGCATACCTTAATTTGTTGTTTTAATTAAAATTAAATTTTTTTAAAAAAATAACAAACATTTTTGGGTGCCCAATCACACCCTAATCAAAGATTGGTGGCGACTCTTTGAACTGTATTTTTTTTCAATCGTAAAGGAAATCAAAAAAATTTTCGAAACGAGAGGTTTTTAAATCGCATTTGTTTTTAAATTAAAAATCAATTGAAAGATATAAATTAAAAATTAATGTGGTTTTCAAAATTTCACTTTTTCACCTTTTAGAAAAAAATCGTTTCAACAGCTTGGCGACTCCGCTGGGGACTTTTTTTAGAGAGTCAGTCCGATAGTCGATTAATTAAGTGTCTTTGCAATTGAAAGTTATAAATTTGTTTTAATTTGGGTTTTTATCCCTTGTTTGGTTTTTAATAAGTTTTGTTTGTATTTTGATTTAATTCGATTAACAATTAAATAGTTGTACTGATCTGTTTGCTAATGGTTTCAGATTATTTGTGAATTGAGAATTGATTTTTGAGTGCTTTTATTATGTGTTTTTTCGCTTTTCCTCACACACTGTACAGTTGCATTTTCATGACATGAGCTGAAACCCCGCTCCATCCTAATTAAGTAGGAATGAGAGACTATGCCCTCGTGTGGTTTTTACCTCCGCATGGGATAGTGGATCGCTCCTGGAGCTCACGCCTTATGGTCCTCGTGATGGTATTCACCTCCGCATGGACAGAAGGGGGTGTGTTCCCTCGAAATTGAACTCAATCCCCTAAAGCCTATGATGGGCCAGGATTGAGGGTTCGGCAGCTCAAGGGGGCACGGCAAGGACAATTCGAGAACCTATTACTTTAGAAACGAACCAAGCATATAGTGAACATAGAGCCCAAACTTAGGTCGAGCCAAACCCGAACCTTAAGAGTCCCGTGAGGAGGGTACACAAGAAAAAGCTTTTTGAGTCATTCATTTTCGTTTTTTCGAATAAATGCATGTGAACTAGATATCATGCGGTTAGGTTTATTTTTCAAGCAAGCATGCGAATTAGATATCATGCGGTTAGGGTTTTAATGTTCAAACAAAGCATAGGGGTAGATATCATGTTGGGTAGGATCTACTAAAGCATGTTTGGGTAGCCAACATGTGAGGGTAGGTTTTATTTGATGTTTATAGTACTTATTTTGTTGTTTATATTATGTGCACTAACCCATTTTTGTTCTATGTCTATTTTATTTTGATTTTATTGCATTCACATCTTCATGTCATCACAAGGTGTTAATTCATAAGTGATTGACTAATAAGAAGGCTGGTCATAATGAG